TAACTCCTGACCTCAAGTGATCCGCCTGCCTTAGCCTCCCAAAGTGGTGGGATTACAGGTGTGAACCACCGCACCTGGCCTCTACCAAAAATTTAAAAATCAGCTGGGTGTGGTGGTGTGTGCCTGTAGTCCCAGCTACACAGGAGGCTGAGCTGAAAGGATTGCTTAAGCCCAGGAGATTGAGGCTGCAGTGAATCAAGATCATGCCACTGCACTCCAGCCTGAGTGACAGAGCAAGAACCCGTCTAAAAAAAAAAAAAAACCTAAAAACAAATACAAAAAAATCCTATGCTACAGTCATACAACAAAATACTACATAGCTGTTAGTGTAAAGCAGACTTATAAGTAGTGTACATAGAAAACAAAACAAAAAAAGTAGTGTACATAAAAAATGTTCATACTGTATTAAGCGAAAAACAGAAAGCTGCTTTGCAAATAGCATGTATATGACCACATTTTCTTTTTCTTTTTGTGTTTTTGGAGGTAAGGTCTTGTTCTGTTGTCTAGGCTGTAGCACAGTGGTATGTTCTTGACTCACTGCAACCTCCGCCTCCCAGCCTCAAGCAATCCTCCCACCTCACCCTCCCAAGTAGCTAGGTCTATAGGTTCATGCCATTATACTTGGCTAACATTTTTAAAAAATTGGCCAGGCAGGGTGGCTCACACCTGTAATCCCAGCACTTTGGGAGGCTGAGGCTGGTGGATCACAAGGTCAGGAGATTGAGACCATCTGGCTAACATGGTGAAACCCCCATCTCTACTAAAAATAAAGAAAATTAGCCCAGTGTGGTGGTGCACACCTGTGATCCAGCTGCTCAGGAGACTGAGGGAGGAGAATCACTTGAACCCAGAAGCTGGAGGTTGCAGTGAGTCAAGATAGCACACTGCACTCTACCCTAGGCAACAGAGCAAGACTCCCTCTCAAAAAAAAAAAAAAAAAAAAATTGTAGAGACGAAGTCTCACTGTATTTCCCAGGTTGGTCTCAAACTCATGGGCTCAAGTGACCTTGGCCTTCCAAAGTGCTGGATACAGGCATAAGCCACTGTTTTGGCATGACCTCATTTTCTAAAAAGTAAGTTTGTATATGCATAAAGTCAAAAAAAATATTTACACCAGATAACAATATTTACATCATTTCTAGGTAATGAATAATCACTTTCTGCATTTTTTATTGTTTAGAACTTTTTTTTTTTTTTTTTAACAAAAAGCATACATGGGCCTGATGCAGTGGCTCATGCCTATAATCCCAGCACTTTGGGAGGCTGAGGTGGGTAGATCACGAGGTCAGGAGTTCAAGACCAGCCTGACCAACATGGTGAAACCCCATCTTTACTATAAATACAAAAATTATCTGGGCTTGGTGGCATGCACCTGTAATCCCAGCTACTTGGGAGGCTAAGGCAGTAGAATCGCTTGAACCTGGGAGGCAGAGGTTGTGGTGAGCCAAGATTGTGCCACTGCATTCCAGCATGGACGACAGAGCTAGACTCCATCTCAAAAAAAAAAGAAAAAAAAGCATACAATATTCTTTTTTTTTTTTCTTGAGACAGAGTCTGCAGTGAGCTGAGATCAGGCATTGCACTCCAGCCTGGACAACAGTCTGTCTCAAAAAAAATAAACAAAAATACCTTAAAATTATTATTTTCTTTTCTTTTTGAGATGGAGTCTCGCTGTGTTGCTCAGGCTAGATAGAGTGCAGAGGTGTGATCTCAGCTCACTGCAATCTCCGCCTCCTGGGTTCAAGCGATTCTCCTGCCTCAGCTTCCCGAGTAGCTGGGATTACAGGAGCATGCCTGGATAATTTGGTATATTTAGTAGAGACGGGGTTTCAGCTTGTTGGTCAGGCTGGTCTCAAACACCTGACCTCATGATCTGCCTGCCTCAGCCTCCCAAAGTGCTGGGATTACAGGCATGAGCTACCTTGCCTGGACAATTATTCTTAGTTTATGTATTTTTTTTTTTAAGAGATAGGGTCAGGCTTTGTCGTCCAGGCTGGTTTCAAACTCCTGGCTTCAGGCGATCTTCCCACTTTGGCCTTCCAAAAGTGCTGGGACTATAGGTGTGAGCCACCACATCTGACCTTAAAATTATAAAACACATTATCAAAAGCCATACATGTTATATATATATATATGCTAACTTGGGGGAAAAGAACCTTCAAGCAAAGAATTTATAAAGTAAGAGGGGAAAGTGTGTCCCTGACCCCACAAAATCCTATCCTTAGAAGTAACCAAAGCTGGGCACAGTGGCTCATGCATGTAATCCAAGCACTTTGGCTAAGGTAAGCAGATGATTGCTTGAGCCCAAGAGTTAATGAGCAGCTGGGAGACATGATGGAAACCCCATCTCTATTAAAAAAAAAAAGTAAAAAATTAAGCAGGCATGGTGACATGCGCCTGTAGTTTCAGCTACTAGGGAGGCTGAGGTGCGAGGGTCACTTGAGCCTGGGATGTTGATGCTACAGTGAGCCTTGATTGCACCACTGCACTCCAGTAAGATTGCGTATCCAAAAAAATAAAAAAGAAGTAGCTACTGTTAATGTTTTGGTCCTTTCAGATCTTTCTCTTCATATATACAAATATAAATGCATACATATAATTTCAAGTTTTCTCTAACGTGGGATTACACTAAATATATTTTATATACAACTTAAATTTTCTCAATAATATATCTGTATGTATCTTCTTCCATGTTAGAACGTTTATATTTACAGCACTCTTCTTAAACACTACCTACTATTTGATGTTATTGTTTGGATTGCTTTTTTAGTCAGACAAGATGAAGCTATTTCTGTTAAAATAATAACATAAGGAGCCAGGTGCAGTAGCTCACACCTGTAATCCCAATGCTTTGGGAGGCAGAAACGAACGAATTGCCTGAGCTCAGGAGTTGAAGACCAGCCTGGGCAACACGGTGAAACCCTGTCTCTACTAAAATACAAAAAATTAGCTGGGTGTGGTGGCTTTCACCTGTAGTCCCAGTTACTCGGGAGTCTGAGGCAGGAGAATTGCTTGAACCTGGGAGGCCCTCTGCCTCCCAGTTGCAGTGAGCTGAGATCATGCCACTGCACTCCAGCCTGGGCAACTGAGCAAAACTCCATCTCAAAAACAAAACAAAACAACAACAACAAAATAAGGAATTATGCAACCCATTAGTCTTGAGTGCCCCCTACTGGGAGCTCTTAACTGACATTAACAAAATGCTAAATTACAATTAATTTAAGCAAGAAGTAATTCAAACATGGGACACTATGCTTTTCAGCATATGGCAAAAATCTGGAAATTCAAAGAAAAAAGTTTGCTTTGAAATGATTTTATTGGGGAAGTTCTTTATTTACTTATGATGTATTACAAGCACGCGCTAAGGTCTCTCTAATTAAGGTAAGGACAAAGAAATCAAGCTAAGCAGTCTGACCTTCTTATATCTTACTCCCAGACAAGTGTGTATATTTGTATCAATGGTGAGATGCGGTTTCAGAATGGGAAGTAATGGCAAACAGGCAGTTAAAAAGGAGTAAGGCAAAACTTTAAAAATATATAAATATAGTTAGATAGATAGATAGATATAGATATAGGTAGGGTGTGGTGGCTCATGCCTGTAATCCCAGCGCTTTGGGAGGCTGAGGTCGGTGGATCACAAGGTCAGGAGTTCAAGATCAGCCTGGCCAAGATGGTGAAATGCCATTTCTACTAAATATACAAAAAAATAAGCTGGGCATTTTGGCAAGCGCCTGTAATCCCAGCTACTCAGGAGGCTGAGGCAGAGAACTGCTTGAACCTGGAAGGCGGAGGCTGCAGCTAGCCAAGATCACAAACCACTGCAATCCAGCCTGAGCAACAGAGTGAGACTCCGTCTCAAAAAAAAAAAAAAATACAAAACTCTTCACTTCTGAGCCTATATTTACTTCTCTCCTCACATTTCAAATCTTCAAGAGTTATTTAGCTCTACCTCAAATCATCTAGGTTGTTTACACTATGTAATGTTTAAATCCATCTTAATCTGTGATTATATATTACATAATAATCAAAGACTCGGAGTAAAAGAAAACCAGGGATGTTGGAAGAGTTGACCTGAAAAACATCCAAAGTTTATTTAAACAAAGAAGACACTGCAATTAATAAAGGTGGGACTTCTTTATCAAACAAAGTTCATTTTTTTTTTCTTGAGATAAAGTCTTACTTTGTTGCCCAGGCTGGAGTGCAATGGTGCCATCTTGGCTCACTGCAACCTCCGCCTCCTGGGTTCAAGCAATTCTCCTGCCTCAGCCTCCCAAGTAGCTGGGATTACAGGCATGTGCCACCATGCCTGGCCAATTTTTTTTTATTTTTAGTAAAAAGACAGGGTTTCACAATATTGGCCAGGCTGGTCTTCAACTCCTGACCTTGTGATCTGCCTGCCTTGGCTCTGGAAGTGCTGGGATAACAGGTGTGGGTCACTGTGCCTGGCTACAAAGTCTATTTTTTAAAATGACATATTAATTATGCTTGTTTTTTGAAGAAAAACTGACATTTATGACTAGAATTTTTTAATAGAAACCAAACCAAACAGAAACTTTACTCAAAACTGCATGTCTATATTATTTATTACTCAGGCAAATGCTATCTTGCTATTTCATTTTATACATTTTTTTTTTTTTGAGACGGAGTTTTGCTCTTGTTACCCAGGCTGGAGTGCAACGGTGCGATCTTGGCTCACTGCAACCTCCGCCTCCTGGGTTCAGGCAATTCTCCTGCCTCACCCTTCTGAGTAGCTGGGATTACAGGCACGTGCCACCATACCCAGCTAATTTTTTGTATTTTTAGTAGAGACGGGGTTTCACCATGTTGATCAGGATGGTCTTGATCTCTTGACCTCGTGATCCACCCGCCTCGGCCTCCCAAAGTGCTGGGGTTACAGGCTTGAGCCACCGCGCCCGGCCTTTCATTTTATACATTTTGACATGAACATTTTATACAGTCTTTACTTTGTTGTATAACTCTCTTCACTAGTTAATACTTACAGCTAATCTGTGATTATTCGCAAGACTGATCATTTGCTGGGCTAGGCCATTTAATAACCGAGTACGAAGAGACAGGTCATCTAGGTCATGACGAAATGGAAAAGCAATACCATCCACTATCACCAATCGAACCTAAATACAAAAGAGATAATATTAGATTTGGTATGAAAAATAAAATAATAAAGATGGCATCCAAAAACCATAGTCCATTACATGAAAAAACCTTAAAATCTAGGGTTTTATTTCCAGCTGTCTAAAGTATGGCTTTCTTGTGGAAAGTTACAAAGCTATTCACTCAATACCCTCTGCAATAATCACTAAAAATTAAAATGGACTCTGCTTTGATAATTTATTAACTTTAAAAAAGTAATTATTATAATTTTCTTATAACTTGCCACTAGTCTTTACTTATAAAAAGCACATTTAAAGTCCTCGTAAAACTTGTGAAAACGCTTAAAGAAAAAGTCTTGTTAAAACAACGAATTTGTCAATTAACTATATGAATTTTAACTTCAGGGTTCCTTTTATGTTTCCTTAAAAAAAAACCCTACGGGCTCATGTCCGTAATCCCAGCACTTTGGGAGGATGAGGTGGGTGGATCACAAGACAGGAAATTGAGACCAGCCTGGTCAATATGGCAAAACCCATCTCTACTAAAAATTAAAAAAAAATTAGCCATGCGTGGTGGTGGGCACCTGTAGTCCCAGCTACTCTGGAGGCTGAGGCAGAAGAATCGCTTGAACCTGGGAGGTGGAGGTTGCAGTGAGCCGAGATCATGCCACTGACTCCAGTCTGGGTGACAGAGCAAGACTCTGAGTCAAAAGAAAGAAAGAAAAAAAGAAAAACAAAAAAAAAACCCTCTAGCCTAGACAACTGAGAGAGATCTTGTCTCAAGAAAGAAAAAAAAGAAGAAAAAGAAAAGAAGAAGAAAGCAGTATTAGTTTTGATTTTGACATTACAAATAAATTTCACCAAGTAGGCAAATTCGCAATTACATACTCTGTGCATAATGAAGATCTAAGTAGTTAATAGTGATTGTCTGAAAGCTTTCCCCTAAGATCAGGACCAAGACAAGTATGCCTGTTTTCATCATTGCTATTCAACATTATACTAAAAGTTCTAGCCAGATCAATTAGGAAAAAAAAAAAAAAAAAAAAAGAAAGAAAGAAAGAAAGAGCATCCAAATTGTAAAGTAAAACTATCACTATTCACAAATGATAGGATTTTATACATGGAAAAACATAAAGAATACACACACACACACAAAAAATCATAGCCATGCACTGCATAAGCCATTTCAGTCAATAATGGACCACATTCACAACACTGGTCCCATAAGATTATAACAAAGCCTTCTATGAGGCTACTGGCTTTTGAGAAAATTTCTCTGACAGAGCAGAGAAATTCCTACAGTCTAGTGGCATCATGGCTATCATAACATCAAAGCACAATGCATTACTCAGAGTCTGTGGTGATGCTGGTGTAAACAAAGCTACTAAACTGCCAGTCATAACAAAATGTGCCGTATACATAAAATGGAACATTATTAAGCCATAAAAAGAAATGCAGTACTGATATATGCTACAAGGATAAATCTTGAAAACATGCTGATCGAGAGAAGTGAAACACAAAAGACAATAAAATATATGACACCACAGAGACAGAAAGCAGAATAGTGGCTGCAAGGGTTTGAGAAGAAAGGGAAACAGGGAGTGACTACTTAATGAGGACAAGATTTCTTTTCAGGGAGATAAAAATGTTCTGGAGGGGCCGGGCACAGTGGCTCACGCCTATAATCCCAGCACTTTGGGAGGCCGAGGCGGGTGGATCACAAGGTCAAGAGATCAAGACCATCCTGGTCAACAAGGTGAAACCCTGTCTCTACTAAAAATACAAAAATTAGCTGGGCACGGTGGTGCGCGCCTGTAGTCCCAGCTACTCTGGAGGCTGAGGCAGGAGAATTGCTTGAACCCGGGAGGCGGAGGTTGTGGTGACCCGAGATTGTGCCATTGCACTCCAGTCTGGGTAACAACAGTGAAACTCCGTCTCAAAAAAATAAAAAAAGTTCTGGAATTGGCTGGGCTTGGTGGCTCACGCCTGTAATCCCAGAACTTTGGGAGGCTGAGGCAGGTGGATAGCCCGAGGTCAGGAGTTTGAAACCAGCCTGACCAACAAAGGTGAAACCCCATCTGTAATAAAACAAAAAAATTAGCTGGGCATGGTGGCAGGTGCCTGTAATCCCAGCTATTCAGGAGGCTGAGACAGAAGTGCTTAAACCTGGGGGGTGGAAGTTGCAGTGAGCTGAGATCGTGCCACTGCACTCCAGCCCAGGCAACAGAGCAAGACTCTATCTCAAAAAAAAAAAATGTTCTGGAATTAGACAGTGATGGTTGCTTAACACTGCACATTTACTAAAAGCTGTTAAACTATATACTTTGGTTAAAATGGTAAGTTTTATGCAATATGAATTTTATCTTAATTTTCAAAATTGTTCAATAAAATTTTTTTTCAGACAAGGTCTCACTCTGTTGCCCAGGCTGGAGTGTAGTGGTGCAATCACAGCTCCCTACAGCCTTGAGCTCCCTGGGCTCAACTGATCCTCCTATCTCAGCCACCTCAGTAGCTGGCACTACAGGTGCACATCACCGCATCAGCTAATGTTTTTAATTTTGTAGAGACAGGGTTTTGCCATGTTGCCCAAACTGGTCTCAAACTCCTGGGCTCAAGTGATCCACCTGCCTCAGCCTCACAAAGTGCTGGGACTACAAGGGTGAGTCACTGCAACTGGCCCAAAAACTTTTTATTTGAACAAAAAAAAAAAGAGGGAAGAAGGTAGGGCAAGATGGACGAATAGAAGTCTCCACAGCTTGTCCTCCCCACAGGAACACCAAATTGAACAACTATCCACGTGAAAAAAGCACCGTCATAAGATCCAAATTTCATATGAGTGATCATAGTACATGGTTTCAATTTCATATCACTGCAAAGAGCACTGAAGAGAGCAGGAAAGACAGCCTTGAATTGCCAACGCTGTCCATCCCCCAACCCCAGCAATCGCTGCCTGGCACAGAGAGAAAATTGGCATGCTTCAGGGAGGGAGAATGCAGTAATTGTGGGACTATTCATTGGAATTCAGTGCTGCCCTGTCACAGCAGAAAGCAATACCAGGCAGAACTCAGCTCGAACTTAGGGAGGGAGCATTTAGACCAGCCCTAGCCGGAGGGGAATTGCCCATCTCAGTGGTCGCAACATAAGTTCTGACGAACCTTGCCACTGCAGACTAAAGTGTGCTGGGGTCCTAAATAAACTTGAAAAGCAGTCTAGGCCACAAGGACTGCAATTCCGGGGCAAGTCCTAGTTCTGTACTGGGTTCAGAGCCACTGGACTTCACGTCCATGTGACCTAGAGAGATACCAGCTGGGGCAGCCAAGGTAGCCTGGAGTCACCCCTCCCCTAACCCCAAGCAACACTTTGGGAGACTGAAGTGGGATGTGTGCTTGAGCCCAGGAGTTCGAGACCAGCCTGGGAAACATAGTGAGAGCCTGTCTCTACAAAAAAACAAGCAAACAAAAACAAAAAAAGAATCAAGCAGATGTTGTAGAGTTTAAAAATGCAGTTGACATACTGAAGAACGCATCAGTGTCTCTCACCAGCAATACTAATCAAACAGAAGAAAGAATTAGTGAACCTGAAGACAGGCTATTTGAAAATATGCTGTCAGAGGAAACAAAAGCATAAAGATTGAAAAAGAATGAAGCAGCTAGATGTGGTGGCTCACACCTGTAATCCCAGCACTCTGGAAGGCCAAGGTAAGTGGATCACTTGAGGCCAGGAGTTCAAGACCAACCTGGGCGACATAGGGAAACCTCATCTCTACTAAAAATACAAAAACTAGCTGGTACATGGAAGGCTGAGGCATGAGAATCACTAGAACCCAGGAGAGGGAGGCTACAGTGAGCCGAGATCATGCCACTGCACTACAGCCTGGGCAACAGAGCAAGACTCTATCTAGAAAAAAAAAAAAAAATGAAGCATGCCTACAAAATCTAGAAAATGGCATCAAAGGGCAAATCTGGCCAGGTGTGGTGGCTTACACCTGTAATCTCAACACTGGGAGGCCAAGGTGGGAGGATGGCTTGAGGTCAAGAGTTGAAGACCAGCCTGGGAGACTGCCATCTCTCTCTATATATATATAAAAGGGCAACAAAATGAGACCCTCATCCCTCTCTATGTATATATAAAAGGGAAAATCTAGGAGTTACTGCCCTTAATGAGGAGGCAGAGAAAGAGATAGAGGTAGAAAGGTTATTCAAAGGGATAAATATGAGAACTTCCCAAACCTAGAGAAAGATATTAATGTTCAAGTACAAGAAGGTAATAGAAGACCAAGCAGATTTAACCCAAATAAGACCACCTTAAGACATTTATTAATTAAACCCCCAAAGGTCAAGGATAAAGAAAAAAAAGTCTGAAAAGGAGCAAGAGAAAAGAAACAAATAACTTACAAGGCAGTGCCAATATGTCTGGAAGCAGACTTTTCAGTGGAAACCTCAGAGGCCAGGAGAGAGCGGCATGACATATTTATAGTGCTTAAGGAAAAAACTTTTACCCTAGAATAGTATATCCGGCAAAAATATCCTTCAAACATGAAGGATAAAGACTTTCCCAGACAAACAAACACTAAGAGATTTCATCAACACCAGACCTATCCTACAAGAAATGCTAGAGAGTTCTTCAACCTAAAAGAAAAGGATGTTAATGAGCAATAAGAAACCATCTGAAAGTACAAAACTAACTGGTAATAGTTAAGTACACAGAATAGTATAACAATATAATTAGGCCAGTGCAGTGGCTCATGCCTATAATCCCAGCACTTGGGGTGGCTGAGGCAGGCACACTGCCTGAGGTCAGAGTTTGAAACCAGCCTGGCCAACATGGTAAAACCCCATCTCTACTAAAAATAGAAAAATTAGCTGAATATGGTGGTAGGTGCCTGTCATCCCAGCTACTCAGGAGGCTGAAGCAGGAGAATCACTTGAACCCAGGAGGCAGAGGTTGCAGTGAGCTGAGATTGCGCCCTTGCACTCCAGCCCGGGCAACAGATGGGAGACTCCATCTCAAGAAAAAAACAA